CCCCCCAGCCTCCTCGCTGGTGGGGTGGGGTGAGGAGCAGAGAAGGCCTTGACTCTGTGTAAGCACTGCGCAGCAGGAACGAAAACATCCCTGTGTTATCAACACTGTTTCCAGCACAAATCCAAACCATAGCCCCATCCTAGCTACTATGGAAAAAATTAACTCTATTTCAGTCAAAACCAGCACTGACCACTATATGTAATTAATTAATAATTTGGAATTTGTATCCCTTACCTTGAGACACCTTCTCACTGTCTTCTCTGGTTGAAGATAGTTCTTACCTGAACGGCTGTATTGAGTGTTGACTCATTAAGTTAAACTGACAGTGGACAGAATCAAGTTAGGCTAATTTCAAATTGGTCAAGTTCTGTTTCTCAGTAATTTGTTCTGAGTTTTCTTTTGCAGGGGAAGAAGCACTACTCTTACAACAATTGTTAAAATTTCTACGTTTTTTGTTGCTAATAATAAAAGAAAAAAAAAACATTAGAAAGGAAATAAAAAAGAAGCAAGGCACTCTTTTATTTCCATAGATTAGACATAAAAATGATTGCCTTGCAGGATTAATATAAATATAGATTAGATGTGAAATCTAATCTATGGTGAAAGGTGATGAAAGCACCTTTCAAGTTCTATTGTTTGCTTGATGTGCATGTATATTACCCAGAAATAGTACTGCAATATATGCAGACTTGCCTGGAGATCCATCATATCTGCTTTCTTATGTTATCTACATATTTGGGGAAACATTTGTTTTAATTGACAATGTTCTCATAAAAGAGAGGAATGCCAGGAAAGAGAAAACAGAATCGTTTTTAGGATTCTGTTTAGGATTTTTATTTTTGTTTCTTGCTATATTTTGAGAAGTTTCAAATTCTACCTGGGGTATATTTTGAAATACCCCAGAACAGATACTGTTACTAGATTTTAATCAGCTTACTTTTTGTTTTTATCCTTTAAGGCAATGCATAACTTATATGGAGTTCAAACTTTCTTCCTGTGTTTGGAAGACAGCACTGGAGCCTCCTTTGGTGTTTTCTTAATGAATAGCAATGCCATGGGTAAGAAAACTTTCTCCGTAGCTCTGAGTATTGCAGTTAAATATCTTTTTAAATGATCTATGGGACTGGCATCAAAACTGTAGTGTTTAGCGTATGCGACGTAAGCAGTAAGTTGCACACAGTTAACATGAAGATTGCACTGGAAACCTGAAGGTCAGAAACCTATCTGAAGCCTGTGCAGATGTGCAGGACACTGGAATCAGAGCCTAAATGTGGAGTGGGCAATACTTGAAATTAAATGTCCTCTAGTCTCTTTAGACAAGCATGCATATAGGTATGCTTTACAGAGTTCTTCACATCTCTTGAGGCTGGAAAGTTGTACTAAAAATTTAAAGATAAAACGTTGAGCCATTGGAATTTCTTCTGATTCTCTTCTCTGTAGGATGTAAAGGAATGGAAATATGGACATTTAAAAGAGTCATCTGAATACATTTCCCCTTCATTGCAAGTTCAATTAATGGTTTTGGGTTTCTTGTGGGTTGTTTTAAGCACATTTTCTAATCATCAATTAGAAAATTACAATGTTTTAGAATTAGCTGGTGTTCATAATTGGTTTTGTGCACTCTTGTCTGGCAGAGTTTGTGGTGCAGCCTGCTCCAGCAGTGACCTACAGAACCATTGGTGGGATCCTTGATTTCTACGTGTTCTTGGGGAACACTCCAGAGCAAGTAGTCCAGGAGTACCTGAAGGTACCTATGCATTTTTAAAAGTGCTTGGGCTTTTTTGGTGTGGTTTTTTTTTTTTTTCCCCTGCTTTGTATGACAGTATGTGTTCACTATGTTATCTATTAACACAAAATATGACTCAGTATATTTTTAACTAAGAATAGCTCTTAGTATGTCTCTAATGTGACTGCTGTCATTAGCAATATCTAGCTGGGGTTAAGCTGGGGTGTAGATGTTTTTAGCTGGCCAGTTACTGGCAGCTGAAACATAAGCACTACTTTAGCTGGAGATGCTGGAGCAGAGACCATGCAGCAGCTCGAGGCCCAAGAAGTTTGTAGCTGCTAAATTCATCAGTCTGTATGGCCTGACTGATTTACACAGTGGTCATTGGAGCTAAAGGTGGTCTACATGGAATAATTTACGCTTCCTTGCTGGGGCTCACTCTTGTTATAGGGACAAATTCCTGTTCATATGGCAATATTGTAGGGTAGATAATGTGCTTACAGATATGTCATGATTTTATGGTCATAAAGTATCACTGATATCTTTTGTACTTCTTGAGATCTGTTTACGTTTCAGTGACACCTTAAAGAATGGTCATTGTGCCAAAATATTTGTATTTTTAAAATTAAAAAAAAAATCATAAAAAAATATTGCATTTGGGAGTGGGCTGCTCATTTCACACACTCAAGCTTAGTGTATATTATTCACATAGATTTGAGGAATATGGATCTAGGGAAATGGGCACTGAGGTGACACACGCAGTGTCCACTGAACGTGTGTGTGGGATTTTTGCTCTCAACTTGCAGCTCGTGGGACTGCCAGCATTGCCCTCCTACTGGAGCCTGGGCTTCCAGCTCAGCCGTTGGAATTATGGGTCTCTGGATGAGGTGAAGAGAGTTGTGGAGAGGAACAGAGCAATTGGACTCCCTTATGTAAGTATGGGGTTTGAGGAGGGCAGCAAGCCTGTAAAGGCAGAGGTCTGCAGGAGAAATGACCCAGAGATGACCATGGTGTTCTGCAACTGGTTCATTTCACATCAGTTTAAATTAGTAAATTTCTAATATATAGGCTTCTGGTGTCAAAGGTTTTTATGCATTTTAACGGTAGACCCATTATCAGAATGTGGGACATGGTGGGGCTTAATTACAGTAGGTTATGTTTGAGCACTTTATTGTAATAATTTTTCAGTTATGCTTTCCAACTATATCCATCTGTCTTCTCATGTTGCCTAATCCATGAATTTTTTTTTTCATTTGTCCTGTGGACAATTATGGAACCATATATTATTCTTAATTGACATCCAAAGGTAAAGTACAATTAACTTTTAAAATTAAATTTCAGATTACATTAGCCTGATGGCTTAAATAGAATAAAAATACCCTAATGTTAAACTAAAAGTTGAGGAAGAAATGTTTGAATTTAAGGGGATAGCTCTTGAAGTCAGGCAACTGCAATGAAATAGCCACATGTCCAGGGGCTATTAGAAAGGATGCCAATATACACATTCATTTAAATTCTGTTAATGTTAAATGCAGGTGTTTTTAGGCACAAAAGATGTGTCAGTACCATTAATTAGGGCTGTAAGTATGAGATGAGATGTACATTGTTTGCAAGTGGTCCTGACAGCATGCTTTCTGCCAGGCTGCAGTAAAGTCCCAACAGTAAATTCACTATAGGACAAATGGGAATTGTCAGAAGAAACCGTGTTGGACTAATATACAAAATCTTTACATATCACTTCTTATATTAAAGCTGAACTCCCTTCTCTTTCAGGATGCTCAGATCACTGATATTGACTATATGGAGGAAAAGAAAGATTTTACTTATGACAAAGTGAAGTTTCGAGATCTCCCTAATTTTGCAGCTTATATGCACAACTATGGACAAAAATATATTATCATACTGGTAAGCATTTAACTATTTCTTTTTCCCTTGTAAATACTATCATTATA